TATCTCGGCGTATTAGAGCTCATATCTCGGTGTATTAGAGCTCATATCTCGGTGTATTAGAGCTCATATCTCGGCGTATTCGAGCTCATATCTCGGTGTATTAGAGCTCATATCTCGGTGTATTAGAGCTCATATCTCGGTGTATTAGAGCTCATATCTCGGTGTATTAGAGCTCATATCTCGGCGTATTAGAGCTCATATCTCGGTGTATTCGAGCTCATATCTCGGTGTATTAGAGCTCATATCTCGGTGTATTAGAGCTCATATCTCGGCGTATTAGAGCTCATATCTCGGTGTATTAGAGCTCATATCTCGGTGTATTCGAGCTCATATCTCGGTGTATTCGAGCTCATATCTCGGCGTATTAGAGCTCATATCTCGGTGTATTCGAGCTCATATCTCGGCGTATTCGAGCTCATATCTCGGTGTATTAGAGCTCATATCTCGGTGTATTAGAGCTCATATCTCGGTGTATTAGAGCTCATATCTCGGTGTATTAGAGCTCATATCTCTGCGTATTCGAGGTCATATCTCTGCGTATTCGAGGTCATATCTCGGTGTATTAGAGCTCATATCTCGGTGTATTAGAGCTCATATCTCGGTGTATTAGAGCTCATATCTCGGTGTATTAGAGCTCATATCTCGGCGTATTAGAGCTCATATCTCGGTGTATTCGAGCTCATATCTCGGCGTATTAGAGCTCATATCTCGGTGTATTAGAGCTCATATCTCGGTGTATTAGAGCTCATATCTCGGTGTATTAGAGCTCATATCTCGGTGTATTAGAGCTCATATCTCGGTGTATTAGAGCTCATATCTCGGCGTATTAGAGCTCATATCTCTGCGTATTCGAGGTCATATCTCGGCGTATTCGAGCTCATATCTCGGTGTATTAGAGCTCATATCTCGGCGTATTAGAGCTCATATCTCGGCGTATTAGAGCTCATATCTCGGTGTATTAGAGCTCATATCTCGGCGTATTAGAGCTCATATCTCGGTGTATTAGAGCTCATATCTCGGTGTATTAGAGCTCATATCTCGGCGTATTAGAGCTCATATCTCGGTGTATTAGAGCTCATATCTCGGCGTATTAGAGCTCATATCTCGGTGTATTAGAGCTCATATCTCGGCGTATTAGAGCTCATATCTCGGTGTATTAGAGCTCATATCTCGGTGTATTAGAGCTCATATCTCGGTGTATTCGAGCTCATATCTCGGTGTATTAGAGCTCATATCTCGGCGTATTAGAGCTCATATCTCGGCGTATTAGAGCTCATATCTCGGTGTATTCGAGGTCATATCTCGGCGTATTAGAGCTCATATCTCGGTGTATTAGAGCTCATATCTCGGCGTATTCGAGCTCATATCTCTGCGTATTCGAGGTCATATCTCGGCGTATTAGAGCTCATATCTCGGTGTATTAGAGCTCATATCTCGGCGTATTAGAGCTCATATCTCGGTGTATTAGAGCTCATATCTCGGTGTATTAGAGCTCATATCTCGGCGTATTCGAGCTCATATCTCGGTGTATTAGAGCTCATATCTCGGTGTATTCGAGCTCATATCTCGGTGTATTAGAGCTCATATCTCGGTGTATTCGAGGTCATATCTCGGCGTATTCGAGCTCATATCTCGGTGTATTAGAGCTCATATCTCGGCGTATTAGAGCTCATATCTCGGTGTATTAGAGCTCATATCTCGGTGTATTAGAGCTCATATCTCGGTGTATTAGAGCTCATATCTCGGTGTATTAGAGCTCATATCTCGGTGTATTCGAGGTCATATCTCGGCGTATTCGAGCTCATATCTCGGTGTATTAGAGCTCATATCTCGGTGTATTAGAGCTCATATCTCGGCGTATTAGAGCTCATATCTCGGCGTATTCGAGGTCATATCTCGGCGTATTAGAGCTCATATCTCGGTGTATTAGAGCTCATATCTCGGCGTATTAGAGCTCATATCTCGGTGTATTAGAGCTCATATCTCGGTGTATTCGAGCTCATATCTCGGTGTATTCGAGCTCATATCTCGGTGTATTAGAGCTCATATCTCGGTGTATTAGAGCTCATATCTCGGTGTATTAGAGCTCATATCTCGGTGTATTAGAGCTCATATCTCGGTGTATTAGAGCTCATATCTCGGTGTATTAGAGCTCATATCTCGGTGTATTAGAGCTCATATCTCGGTGTATTAGAGCTCATATCTCGGTGCATTAGAGCTCATATCTCGGTGTATTAGAGCTCATATCTCGGTGTATTAGAGCTCATATCTCGGTGTATTAGAGCTCATATCTCGGCGTATTAGAGCTCATATCTCGGCGTATTCGAGCTCATATCTCGGTGTATTAGAGCTCATATCTCGGTGTATTAGAGCTCATATCTCGGTGTATTAGAGCTCATATCTCGGTGTATTAGAGCTCATATCTCGGTGTATTAGAGCTCATATCTCGGTGCATTAGAGCTCATATCTGCTGCTGTGCCTGGGCTCAAACGCTCACACATCCATGTCACCCCAAAAGAATACTAATAAATAAAAGGATGACGTGGAAAAGACTATATTATTTCAAGTATTTAAAGCATGGCAGGATTTGAATAAAGATTTTCAGCAATTATATCCTCAAAGTAAAAATTATTTCCATTGAAAAAAAACAACAACTCTAAAGTATAATGCATTACGGTAATGACAATTTAGCCATTTTAATGGTCCTAAACACATCTTAATTTTAATTCCTAATACACTACCGTTCAAAAGTTTGGGGTCGGTAAGATTTTTTTCATGTTTATGAATGGAGGCTGCATTTATTTGATGAAAAATATTGTGAAATATTATTACAATTTAAAATATCTGTTTTCTCTTTTACTACGTTTACACATGTAGTCCATTCCTGCGATCAAAGCTGAATTTCCAGCATCATTACTCCAGTCTTCAGTGTCACACGATCCTTCAGAAATCATTGTAATATGCGGATTTGATACTCAAGAAACATTACTGTAATTGTTAGTTTTCTTATTATTCCTCCCCAATGGGAGTCTATGGCAGCCCTATATGAACCGCAAGTAGGAAAATCTTGAACATTGGCACACTTGTAGTGATGGTAATAAATAGTGATCTGACCAAATTTGGGGTGTCTAGGACCAATTCTATAGCGCCACCATTAGTTAAAAGAAATCACATTTGCATGAAACGGTTGAACGCTTCGATCTAGAAAAATGAAACGTAGTTCACCTGATTCCTCTCATCATGCTGATCACATTCAACATCATACATTAAAACATTGTCCATTACAGTAATGGCCGTTTTGAAAAGACGTACCTGATAAGTTTGAACACAGCGCCACCTAGTCTTCCAGAGATACACGTTTAAAAAAAAAAAACATTGATAACAATAATAAATATTTCTTGAGCAGCAAGTCATCATATTAGAGTGATTTCTGAAGGATCATGTGACACTGAAGACTGGAGTAATGATGCTGAAAATAGTTTTACTGTATTTTTGATTAAATAAACTTGGTGAGCAGAAGAGTTTTTTTAAACATTAAACAAATATTTTTCCAAACTTTTGACAGCAACTGTAAATGTGCCCTTTCTGAATAAAAGTATTCTAAAAAACCCAAACTTTTGAACAGTAATGTAATAAATAATTTTTCATTATTTTAAATTGTATATTTTTAAATGAATATACTGAGCCCCTCACATGAAATGCAGTTTGAAAAAATGCCACGAATTAACATTTAGTTACCAAGACTTACTAATACGTCAGCACGTTTACTAATTCATTCCCTTGTTTTAAGTAAATGATGCGTATAATAATTTGTTCCATCGTTTTACTAAATCGTGGCCACGTTGTAATCATTTGCTCACTTGTTTTAGATCAATTAAAACAAATAAGTACAACGCGGCCACAATTCACCAGAACGTGAGAACGAATTCTTAATTCGTGGCCACAATATGTTGCTGGGCTCCAAAATACATTCATATATATAAATAATTCCTTTTTATTTTGATTTTGGGGTGACATGTGACCCAGACATGTTTCTGTGAGCTTCACCCAAATGGCCAGGCTTCAAAGCAGACAAATACTGAGCTTATGGAATGATGTCATCACAAAAACACAAGGCCCGGTTTCTGCAATAATGCTCTTCAGGCTGAGCATTCTGGAGAGTCTGAGGAATGCACTTAGTCCACAATCTGAAATATTTGAGACTCCTATCAAATACTGTCCCAGTCCATGTTCTCACAGAAATACCCTGTCGTCGCTGGTGCTCTTGTAGAATCACTGGAGCTGATCTGTCCTTGAGTGAGGCAGTGAACTAGCCTTTCTCTGCACCGCAGGTCAAGAGTTTGGGCATCGTTTCTCTTAAAAGTCCCTCACCAACGCTGCATGCATTTGATTAAAAATACAGTAAAAACAGTAATATTATGAAATATTATTTACCCAAATATTACAATTTAAAAGAATTGTTTTCAATTTTAATAAATATACAAATGTAATTTTGTAAAAAAAAAGCTGAATTTTCAGCATCATTACTCCAGTCTTCAGTGTCACGTGATCCTTCAGAAATCATTCAAATATGATGATTTGCTGCTCAAGAAACATTTATTATTATTATCAATGTTTTTGTTGCCTAATATTTTTGAAGAAACCCTGGTGCGCTTACCAAAGATTTTTTTAAATAAACACTTTAATTCAGAAAAGACGCATTCAATTGATCAAAAGTGACAGTAGAGAAATTTATAATTTGACTATTTTGAAATAAACAATGCTCTTTTGAACTTGCTATTCATCGAAGAATCCTGAAAAAAATGTTGTATGGTTTCAAAACCATTTAACCAAAACAAAATCAGCATATTACCATGATTTCTGAAGGATCACGTGACATTAAAGACTGGAGTAATGATGCTGAAAATGTTATATTTTAAAATATATTCGAATAGAAGACAAAATAAAATTTCACAATATTACTGTTTTAACTGTATTTTTGTGTGCATATGAGAAACAACAGCCTTAATTATTCCAAACGCTTGACCTGTAGTGTGGGCTAAAGGCACGAGGTCTTCCCTTCACCTCCTCTTGGTGGCGTTCAGAGCCCTCTTGAGCTCTTTCTCCACCTCAGAGGCGTCGTCTTGAGGACCTGAGGACTGATGTTCGTCTTCATCTCCTCCTGTGAGCGTCCACACTGGTTCCCCGTCAGGCTCGGGGAGGAGCAGGCTGGCGGGAGGGAGGGAGTTGCTGTTGGATCCCGGTGGGGTGGTGATGTCTGGGACAGGGGCGAGAGTGGGACTGGCCTGGTTCTCCACCTTCCCGAGGGCACAGAGACTCAGACTCCCGCACAGAGCTCCCCAGTTCTGCTCGCACTGAGTTCGTATTCGCCGGCCGATGGCGACACGCACCTCCTCGCCGCATCCCAGCAGGACGTTCACCAACTCCACGTGGGGCCTTTCGGTGGAGGAGAGGAGACGGTTAGGACAGAAAAAACACTGTTACCCACGTCTGATATTGAAGTAGGGGTGTGCGAGATGTAGTGACTATGATCATGTTTTAAAATTGTCGTAGAAAAGTCCCCCTGTGGTGAAAATCAAGCGTTTAATGTTGTTTATATGTCGATGTGGTGTTTTTAATATGCTTTAAGACAAACCATGTGTAAATTCATAAGTCGACAGCATTGCTGAGTATTTTCTCCTTAAAACTGCAGTGAACCAAAGACAGTCTCAAAAACACGGTTTGAAATCGCTGGTGTTTCTGACGTCACAAACTACCTTGTAACCAATCAGATCAACGAGTGGATCTCTGAGCTGCTGTGAGTGAGTGGAGGCGGGGCTCATTTGCATATATTCAAAGAACCGCTTATAAATCAAGCAAGGGTGTAGAGTTACATTCAAGCAATTTTAATGCTGCGTTCACACCGGACGCGAATAGTGCGTCAAATTCGCGTCTACCGCGTCTAGTTTGACGCTTGACCACTTTGTGTTAATTCGCGCGTCAAGAGTGAAACTCCGCATAAAAAAAAAAGTTTGAAGCGAAATTTACGCGCGTCAGATTCGAAACCTGTTGGTGGCCATCTTTTTTATTTTGATCGAGCATTCATCGGGAGAGTCGCCGCTCTGTATTTGCTCTGGAGAGCAGAACAGCGGCGTAGGGATCATCGTCGCCGTATTTGTGTCCACCAGACCCTTCGGAGGCGAACCCAGTTTGGCGAGTTTCACCATTTGCTCGCTCCAGGAGCTGCGCCAGGAGTACTTCCGCCTGTCCCGCGCCTAGTTTGATGACCTGTTGTCCCGCATCGGAGGGAGGATCACCCTCGCCCTCACCCACCTAATATGTAATTTATTTTTGTGTTGATGATAAATGGAGCCAGCCCCAAAAAGTGATTAACCTGTCCTGTGATTTTCTCTCTCTCACACAACACTGTCCAGACAAGAACTTATGCACTATAATATGTTGGTTGTCTTTACATTATAATACCATTTCATATAATCTAGATATGGAATAAATAGCATTCAATACAAAATGAATGTCTCATATATTGAAATCAAGTTTTATGTGATAAAATATTTGATTTGTTGTGCATTAGAACCACACCAGGCATTTAGTCATATTACAACATAATTTATTGAAGCATCCAGATACTTCACCACGTGACAGCAGCAAGCAGGCTCCTGATTGGTTAACGCGGCGCGAATTGACGCCAAAGTTCAGATTTTTCAACTCGGGCGGCAGACGCGAATTCGCGTCAAACGCGTGAATGCACAAAATGCTATTCGCGTCCGGTGTGAACGCAGCATAAGGCATTAAGAATTTTTCAAGGAAAATAAACATTTAAATATGTCATTTTGGTGATCAAAGATGAGTTTTAAGAGATAAAATTACTGACTATAGGGAAACTTTAAACAATTAGCTGGCATTATCAAGTATGTCTTAATAAGTATGTCTGCAAAAGTGCGTAAGTGTGCTGTTTTTTTCCAAATTAAATAAAATTTTAATTTTTGAACGAATAAATGGTTCACTTGCTTCGTTCCTGAATGAATCAGTCATTTGAATGAATCGGTTGAATCAAGTCGGCATGAAACGGAAGTTGTGATTTTTTCTATTACATACATCTGAGTGAAACGGCTACTAGAACAATAAGAAATGTAGGAAAGGGTATAGATTGGATGGTTATGGTTTGCTATTGGTTGATCACATGTGAGTGACAGGTTGCCCCGCCCTCGTCCTCAGAGAAGAGATGTCGCTGCAAGAGGGAAGGGAAGTTATTTTGATACATCATTTATAGTAAACACTGCAATAAGAATTGTGATTTCATGACTTAAAAAGTATAATTTCATTTTTTAATATTAAAAATATGTATTTTTTTTAAATCTCATTCATACAATTGTAATTTCATGCTTGTAGATGCTTCTTTAAATGCAGCTTGTGTTCCACTTCTGCATTGCAAGATGGATTTACTTGCTACTGATTTCTACTGACAATGGAGTTTAAAAAATATGACCGATGACGAGGTTCAGGCTTTCTTAAGCTTAAATTCAGAGGATGAAACCCAGCCGGAACTGAAAAGTAGCGAGCAGTCCTACGTCACCGGACTATTTGCCTAATCTTCACGGTACTTTAGACTGTGGTGGGAATGCAGACAGCAACAGGTCTCTGGGGGAAAAAAGCTCCTGGGACAAATGGTTCCCGGTAGTCACGGTGGAAACGCGGCTAATATTGCACAACCCTATATTGAAGAACTCACCCTTTAGGAAACAGGTCCTTGAAATGGATCATCTCCACCATGACGTTGACGTTCTCCGTCACGGCCGAGCAGAGGTTGTGTTTGACGTAACACTCGCGCTGCAGCTGGAACACCATCTCTTTGACGGCCAGACACTTGCGGCTGACGCAGCTGAACCTGTGGCGGAGTCCGTGGGCCATACACTTCAGCGCGTCTTTGATGAACGATTTTCCCTGCGGTGATGCAGAAGTCCTTCATCAACCCGGAGCCGTTAGCACGTGCAGTTAATGGCAAAATGCTGACCAAGAAGATTTCAGCTCAAGTATGTCTAATGATATGAACGTAGTGAGCAAACTGCCAGCTCTTAGTAACGAGGTGCTGTAGGTCAAAGTAGGCTAGATACCACTCCAACAATTAAATTTTTATTTTATTTAGCATTACAGTGTACATACCGCATATTGGGATTTGAGTGAATAAGTCAGGATCATACCTGGGAGTCAAATTTGCCTGCGTTGTGGAGGAATGTCATGCAGATGTCATGTAGTCCTCGGATCTCGCAGGAGTTGTTGTTAAAGCACTCGAACATGCCGCAGCCCACATCACCTGCGTTCACCAGACACTGCTGAATCTCCGCTGGAGAAAGTTTGAGGGACAGAGAACGCTAGTTTTTAGAGCAGTTACACATTACTCCTGCCATAGTAGCTCACTACATTTACAGTAAATAAAAAACGGCCTGACATTGTTTCAGTTTTAAGGGATGTATGTGTGCTGTTTCACTGAATAGGTGCCATTTCTGTCCCCCATGTACAAATATGCATGAGAATTAACTCTAAAATACATTTTATTATTAGGCAAAGTGTCCTGCACATTAATCTAACTGCAAATGTAAAATATATAATTTAAAACATTAAAAAAACTACCTAAAACACTGAAAAATAGAATTTGTTACCTGTCCCCACTCTCTAACACTACATTTCAACATGAAATATAATCTTTCAGATTTGTTTTCCCTTTTGCACTGTTGTGTACCTCCATATCCCATCTTTGCTTTAAACAATTTTATTTTAAATCTGTAATATTTTAGATTAAAAAAACACATTTTAGTTGTGTCTCCTCTCCAGGTTTTCACTCATCCCTGTTACCACGCATTCCACCGTTTGAAAAACTGGGAAAATTCCACAAGACACATTTTCAACAGGATATTGCATCATCTGGATTTTCTGAAGGCCATTTGAAGATCTTTAAGTATACAGAAGACCTGTATATTTGATAATATTGTAACTACGACTGGGAAGGTCAATCTTAACGTTCTCTCCTGTTACCTAAATTATTTATTAGATGTTTGTTCATTTTAAAAATACTAATTTATGGAATTTGCTCAGTGTCCTCATACTATTCACATGTATGCCATGAGGGTATATTAAATGTACTTGATAATTCTTTCCGAAAAACTCAGTCCCATTACTTTGAGTCCTTTTACCCATATAAAAAGTAACAGGACTGAGTAACTCTAAAAGGAGTGAGTAGTGTCCTGTGGTGTATTGATTTATTAATGTGATTATTAGGCTATATCCACATAAATCTAGATAAATTAAAAAAAAACATATTTTTCTCTGTTTTAGCCTTCCATTCATATTAAGACAACCTTTTTTTGTCCAGCGAAAACTGCTTTTTAAAGACTCTCTCCCTAGTGGATAAATCAGAAAATACTGTTTTCACGTGTTTGTGTGCCCATATAATCTTAGCATGGTAAACAGGTTTGGCTTGCTGTCTGCTATAGAGGGGCTCAGTGAGGTTATTCTACTCGAGCTCCAATTGCCCTCCAATTATAAAGGCAGAAAATACAAAACGAGAAAAGGAACGTTGGAGGAAAGATGCTGAAAGAACTAACAACTGGAAGTGGTAAGAGGCTGATTTTTATACCTTGGTATTAATAAGAAGATTAGATGGGCGTCCTCCTCTTTGAGTTTGTGTGCCCATATGATCTTAGCTTTAGTGGTAAACAGGGGCTCTTTAGAGAGGTTATTTGGTCCCACTTTATACTAAGTGGCTTTAAGTACTATGTACTTACATCGAAAAATAAGTACAATATTGTGCTCATGTTGTATTGTAAAACACTTGCTGCTATTGAGGTGTGATACGGGTAATGTTAGGGACAGGTGTGGTGGTATGGGTAGGTTTAAGGGTGGGTTAAGGTGTAAGGGAAGGGTCAACTGTGTAATTACAAATGTAAATTACATAACTTAAATTACAGCTGCAATTACATGCTGGTACTTTTAAAATATAAGTACAATGTAAAAACATGTATGTACACAATAAGTCCATTGTATCAAATTATTAATTTCAATGTAAGTACATAGTACTTAAAGCCACATAATATAAAGTGGGACCGGTTATTTTACTCAAGCTCCGATTGCTCACCAAAAAACATGAATGCAAAAATCAGACAGCAAGAAAGCGTTACTGGATTGAAAAGCTTATTGCTATCTAAGGAATCAGCATGTATAATTATTTCAACAGTCTGGAAGACCCCCCAACAATTGGAGAAAGAAGAAATGGAAGAAGGCACTGTAGCGGCAGTATCAAGTTAAGCAGGGCACTCCAGCGGCAGTATCAAATTGGGCGGGCACTGGTTGGATTGGGTTTTGTGGGGCAGCTATCTTGAGAAGATTGTAACCAGATTAAAAACAAACGAGAGTTAGATGGTATTTTGTTTGATGAGGCTGAGGTTGGAACGAATGTAAGAATGAAAGGCGTCTGAGGACCAGCGACCCAGTAATTTAATTGGATAATCAGGCAGACCTTTTTGGTCTGCGGTGGTAACTGCTCTAATACCTAGTGACTGAAAGATTGTTTTCGTCAATGAAAAGGGGGTTGAGCAGGGAGGAAATCTGAACCTTCCAGTGTGCACGAATGAAGGAAAGAGATTGATATGGCTGGATGGGGGTTGGTAGATTGAAAATATGGATGGGAACATTAATTAATCAGTTTTGCTACGTTTGATGAGAAAAAATGGATGGTGTCATTATTTATTAATTTAAACCTTTATTTAACCAGAAAAAAACTCATTGAGATTAAAAATATCTTTTTCAAGAGTGTCCTGGCCAAGACAGGCAGCAGTACTAAACCACATATACAGTACATACAAACATAAAATATGCAACACTAGAAACATAAAACAACTGACACAGCAAATCTTTCAAAGTCAACCAGAATCATAAAAACACGTTAGGTAAAACATCTGCAGCCAGATGTGGCTGCCTCTATGTCAACCAACAACCTCTTAAAAGCAACCAATGAGACAAGCTCAGTAAGTTTCAAGGAACACAAAAAAAGACAGGGTTAACATCCAGAGTTCTTGCTGTATCGGGGGGCAAATGACTGGAATGGAGGAAAGTCAGGCATTTAGCGTAGAGATCAATGGTTAAAGGTTGCCTTGATTCCGGGAGAGTGGGTTGGTTTTTTGGATTCCTTTGATTAGTAATGTAATCTGGGGGTTTGTTATGGAGGGACATGGCCGTAGATTAATTTAAAGAAAAATTGAATTCCGCTAAAATAGACTTTGATGGTACTGGATTGGATGGACTTAACTTGGTTGAGATATGTGACAAATGAAGAAATTGAAAGGAGGGAAAAGTTGGGAAAAGGCTGGTTGTAGGAGGAATGGAATTGTTTAAAAGCTCCCAATGCTGTCCAGTTGGATTGTAGTGTTCTAGGTGAGACAGCGTGGAATATTGAGTCCAGAGATAAGGTGTGGAGGTGTTTGAGTGGGTGAGTTATGGGAATATCAAGTCTGAATAGGGAGGTACTGGGGCTGGGGCTGGGGCTGGGTCTGCCTCCGGGGCTAATGCTCAGAATTTTTTTAATAGAAAATGAGACGCGAGTGTGTCAGCAGTTTGGTTTTGGCGGCCTGGAATATGAACGACTTTGAAGATGAACTGTTTACAGGTGGATGACCAGGTGAGGCATCTTAAGAGGGGCATGATTTCAGGGGAATTTGAACAGCCTTTGTTTATACAGTGAACAGTCGCCAGATTATCACAGTGGAATTCTGTTTTTAAAAGACCATTCGTGACCCTGCAAAAAGGCAGCTGTCACGATCAGATATAACTTAAAAAGAGCTGAGGATGTGGCGCACCGATTTGACATAGAGAGCGAAGGAGGTCATGTTGAAGCGAACCAATGACTCTTGTAATAACTTCCGAAGCCTACGGAGGGAGTGGCGTCTGTAAACAGAGGGAGATCACTAGGATGAGATTGGATGTCATCGTAAAAGAAGGTCAGGCTATTTCACTGTTCTAGAAATATGATCGATAGATTCAGATCCGCGAGGCAAGAAGGGTTTTAGAGATTTGATATTGTCTAGTGCCAGAACGGAGGATGCAAGAGACAGCAAGTGGGAGATGAAAGGACGTCATTGGGGTACTATACGCATGGCGTAGTTTAAATGGCCTAGCTGGGATAGCAAATCATGTTTGCTGCACTGAGGTGCTTCGAGCAGATTGGAGGATATTGCGATTATCATATCTATTTTGTCTTTGGGAAGGGAACTTTGAATTTAACGGTTAATTCCAAGGAACTCTAGGGATGTGGTAGGGCCCGATGTTTTCTCTGGGGACAGTGGAACTCCTAATTCAGAAAAGATTCCTGAATGGTAGAAAGAGGAATGGCTGGAGGATAATGACTTGGGGTAATGGTGAGAAAGTCATCCAGAAGATAAACCAAGTAAGAGACAGCGTAGTTGTTTTGCAAGATTCCAGCAGAGCACTTTTGACACTTCTGACATTGCAGCCAAAAGTAAAGCATACTGCAAAATAGAATTTCCCCTTCCAGCAAATGCCAAAAATCTGGATGTATGGGCATTGCATTGAATGCTGAAGTAATGTCTACTTTTGCTAACCAGCCTCTGAAACCGGCATTTTTAATTAGATGGATGGCTTGGTCTATGTTATGGTAGCACAAGGATAATTCATCTAGCGGGATGATGCTACTTATGCTTGGATGAGTGCCGGATGAGCAGAGAGATCGAGGATCAATTGTTTTTTCCCAGAAAATTTTCTTGTAGCTACACTGATGGGGCTTATTCTGAATATTTTGAAAGGTGTGGAGTCAAATGGCGCTTTTCCACTGCATGGTGCGGTACGGCACGGTTCGGTATGGCACGCTTTGGTGCTTTTCCACTGCATGGTACGTTACGGCTCGGCTCGGTACGGCTCACTTGTGGTGCTTTTCCACTGCATGGTACGGTACGACTCGCTTCGGCTCGCTTTAAATGGTACCACCTCTGTTCAGGGTCCAAGCGTACCGTACCGATACTAAAATGTGATGTGAACACACTGCAGATCACTGATTGGTCAGACAGAATTGTCACTACCAGCGTCATTGTATTTTAGCGAGACATCAAACCCGCTAGATTTAAATAGCCAGTAACAGCCACCGCTGTAGCACCAGTTTTAAAACTACTTGCTTGACTTGCTTTAAGAAAAAAGAAAGGAAAAAAACGTCCCCAAAAAAAATGGCTGAATCGTGGTCAGTGGACGAAGTGCAGACGTTCCTCTCGTTGGTTGCCGAGGAGCGGATAAACTATAACGATCAGACTATAATCCCACCCACTTTGACGCGGTAATAACTGC